AGTAAAGTAAATCTATACCCAGGCATATAATAATCAAGATCCCAGAAATTCAGCATAAGGACAGTATCAAAAGCTGTTAGAGAAAAGAAACAGATCACCTATAAAAGAAAACCAATTAGAATCATGGCAGACGTATCAATACAAACCATCAAAGTCAAGAAGAGTTTGGAGTGAAGTGTTTCAAATTCTGAAAGAAAACCACTTCCCATCCAGATTGATGTACCCTGAAAAACTACCTTTCAAAATTGATGGAAAAATAAGATACTTCCATGACAAAGTAGAACTGAAGGAATTCATGATGACCAAATGAACTCTGTAGACAATGCTGAAGGATATTCTAGAGAGAGATAAAAATGACCACGGTTCCAGGAACAGCAGCAGAGGAGGATCACAAAACAGGACAGGCTGTTGAATGAAGGGAAAAAATGGAAGGCAAACCACTGGAAGGTAGTATAGCAGAGACAAACCAATGTATGATGGTTGTAACCTTTAATGTAGATTGTCTCAATTCACCAATAAAAGAAACAAGGAGAGTAAATCAAGAAACAAGATCCATCAATACATTGTATATGAGAAACACATTGAACTTGAAAGGAAATTCATAGACTGAAAATCAAAGGAAAGAAAACAATTGTTACATGTAACAGAAGACCAGAAAAAAGCAAGGGTATCTTGCTCATCAACTACAGAATAGGCAAGAAAGATATGGTATTTTCATACAATGAAAAGTTACTCAACTATAAAGTAGAATAATCCTGAGGTTCCTGTATGTTAATGGATGTAACTGGAGATCATGTTACAGACAAGACAGTTTTAACGCATATGGGTGAACACCAAGTTATCTCCCTAGCATAAAGAAACTGAAGGAGTTAGTGGGACCCAAAAAGTACAATAGATATTATGAAAGTGATAGGGAGGAAATGCCTAGGAAGGTAAGGTGCTAACCACTGTTAATTTCTTACTTTATTGTTTTGAACTCTTGTATCATTTTCATAATTTTGTTAGATTTGGTTTTGTTCTGTCTTGTTTTGTCAGATTTTACTGTGTCTGATAGTATGGGCAGCTATTTGAAGATAACAGGACATTTTATGTTAATCATGGTTGGTTTCCTATTATCCTGTTTTGAAATCCTATAATGCTTTCATTCTTTTGTTTAATTGGCTTTATTCTGTTTTGTTTTGTTTTGTTTGATTTTAATATGTGTGATGGTATGGACAGTTATTTTGAAGAAAACAAGACATTATGGTAGTCATTCTTCATTTCCTGTCATCTTGTTTTGAAATCCTATAATGCTTTTATTCTTTGTTTTGATTGGTTTTATTATTCTGTGGTTTTATTTGATTTTATTGTGTGTGATAATATGGGCAGCTATTTTGAAGAAAACAAAAGATATTATAGTAGCCATTGTTCATTACTTGTTATCTTGTTTTGAAGACATGTAATGCTTTCACTTTCTTGTTTTGACTGGTTTTAATCTGTTTTCTGTTGTTTGATGTTATTATAGGGGAAGGTATGGACAGCTATTTTGAAGAAAAGAGACATTATGGTAACCAATGTTGGATTTCCTATTGTCTTGCTTTGAGGTCCTGTATCACTTGCATTGTTCTGTTCTGATTTGCTTTGCTCTGTTTTGTTTTGTTCTCTTAAAAAAAAAAAAAAGCAAGAAAAAGAAATACAGTGGTGCCTCAGTTCACAAACTTAATTCTTTCCAGGATTCTAATCTCAAACTGAACTGGATAAGAACCTAGTCAAATTCAGTGGTTGGGTTCAATGTTGATGTTACAGGGAAATTGGATTCTGTTCCTGTCCAATTCAGTTTGCAACCAGAATCATGGAAAGAAATAAATTTGTGAACAGAGACACACTCTATAAGAGTTATTCATAGTCACTATAAATCTATATTATCTGATATTGTCTCTCTCTGTCGTTAGGTTCCAAATCAAACTGACTTCCCAAACTGTCATAGAGCATGAAATATAACGTGTGTCTTACACTGTAGTGAATCTAGGATGTGACCCTTTTCAAAGCTATGATACCTATGGAGGACCTGTTGTTGGAGGTGCACCAAAATTGAGTCTGAGTACCTAGAAAATGTACCCTTGCTATTGAAATTACCAATTCCACTTTATCCTTCTACTTGGCAGTCAGACAGTCCCAGGAATGCAAATTCCTGTCATTTTGAGTGTGGGGGAAGGTGTAAGAGCTAAGCCTGCCTGCTGCTATTCTGATTGCAGCATTTGTTGCTGAGAGAGACAGCTCTGGAATTGAGGCTATTTTTTTTTTCCATTCTTAGGAAAAGATTTGACCAATATCAGGAAGGCCAAAGGGCATCTGCAAATGATAATTTCTGCTTAATCACCCAGTGGGTGTTTACACTTGTAGTCCTTCCAATGTGGCATTGCATTTGGTCCATTCGTTCTTCATTCCCTCTCCTTATTCCCACCTCCTGTAAGAAATGTGGCATGGAAACAGAGCAGTGCAATTTGGGTTTTTTTTTTTTTCCTTTTCTTTTAATTTGTTGAAATTGTCTCTAGGCAGAAGTGGGCGGGGATAGAAAACAGATGGTTATAGCTAGAGTAGAAACCTACTATGAGGAGCTTTGAAATGCTCAAATCTGATGAAGTCACTATTTTCTTACAGAGAAGGGAGGTGAAGAAACAGTAGTGAAAGATTTCCAGCAGACTGTTTTCTCCACCTTATGTCCACGAACACATTTCATTTTCTAAAGCCCCTATCAACTGTGCACTAGAGCAGATCTCTTGGGTGGGAGATTGGAGGGATCAGCTAATTATAATGAAAGGGATTTGTATCATATGACTTTACAAATTTATAAATGAGTTATCATACATTTCTCTTTAAAGTCCTCTAGCTCCTCACTTGCCTTTCTCCTCACCATCCCCAAATCCCCACCAAATCCCACACACCACATGTATTTGTCCCTCAGTGTCTTCTGATTTTTACACATGTAGTAGAGACTAAATTGAGAAGGAAAAAAAGGGAACAGTCAGGGAACTGCCTAAGAGTTAATTTCTTTGCCTTCTTATATTTGGGGAAAAGAAATCAACAAGTGAGCTTTCTTCACACTGGTCTCAAGGTCATCTAAAGATCTAAAGGATCTCAGTCTACAAAGTTGGAAAGGATTGAGGGAGATGACACCTTCTTCCTCTAATGTCTAGTAGAGAAAACTGTCTTTTGTGAAGTAATGTACAAATGCAGCTGAAAATTTATCCAGCTATCTACCTGTTAGATTTTGTTTTCATTTCCAAACAAATACTTAATATCTTTCCCGACATCAACAAGGTGCCCTATAGTTCAACTCATTTCTCTAGGAATTCAGCATCATATCAACTAGTTTTCTAGATCAGCCCTTCAAGACTGCCATCACTTCAGATGCCAGTGTTAGATGCCCCAGTTACCCCTTCCTTTGCCCAATAGGCTATCACTTGAGGAATTCCTATAAACCTCCCTGTCAGGTTTCATAGTTTGCTAGAGTGACTCTCAGAACTCAGGAAAGCATTTTACTTACTCTCAGTTTTTCATGAAGGCTACAGCTCAGGAACAGCCGAATAGGAGAGATGGACAGGGCAAAGTATGGTGGGAGTGGCATCCAACATCCATGTCCTTCTTGGGTACCACACCCTCTCATCACCTAGATGTTTTCACCAATCCAGAAAGCCCATCAACATTTAAGGGTTTCTATGAAGTTTTCTTTATAAAGCTTGTTTTTTGCTTTTTTGTTTTGTTTTTTGTTTGTCTGTTTGTTTGGGGGTTTTTTGTTTTTTTTGTGACAGGGTCTCACTGCAGTTCAGGTTGGCCTTGAGCTCACTTTGTAACCTAGGCTGGCCTCAAACTAACAATGATCCTCCTGCCTCAGTCTCCCGAGTGCTGGAATTACAGGCTATAAAAGTATTCTTGATTAAGTAATGGGCACTGATATCTCACTCACTTAGCTCCTTTCCCTTCCCTGGAGATTAGGGATAGGGCTGAAAGTTCCAAGCTTCTAATTCGTCTTTCTGGCAACAAGATGCTACTTTCACCATTGTCATCTTGACAAGTTCCAGCTGTTTTAGGAACTCTGTGTCCCAAATCAAGGACGGTAGCCAAATAGTTCCTTTATGAGATATCACCTGACCCGAAAACAAAACAAAACTCCAGAACCACAGATATTAGCCTTCTTGGCCATTTCTGGCTTTCTCTTTCTGTGGATTTTCCAATTCCCTAGGAACTTGGGATTTATTCACTATAAGCTTTTCAACTTAAGTAGTTGCCCTGTAGCTGATACCTTTTAGCTGTCCTTTCTAAACAAATCATTTATGGAAACAAGTGTTCTCAGGGCATAGAATTGAGTGTCCACACCACTTTCTCTGCTTCCCAGAGAGTCTGCAGAAGCCAGTAGTGAGGGTAAATTTAAGAAGCTGAGAGGCTCATACCCTCTCCACGTAGAGCCACCTCCACCTGCCTCTGGGCTATTGATGTCCTAGGTAAAAGGGTCATCTTGAGTGTCCAGGGGGAAATCTGTTGCATCCCACTTTTCCCATTCTCTTTGGGAAAAATCTCTTAGAGTTGAGCTGGATCTGGAGACTGCAGTGAAAGGTCAAGAGCTTTACTAGTTGAAATGGGTGAAGCCTCAGTGCACTTGGCCTTATTCCTTCCCCCATGAACAAAGACAAAACAAAAACAAAAACAACTCAGAGGAGCAAAGTGTTTCTTTTGTTATCATGAGATCTTCCTTATAAAGCAAAACCTCACTTCATTCTGGCCCAGACAGTCACCTGGTCACAGATGGATAAGGGCCTCAAGTCCACATGGGTTTATTTGAAATTCATGTTTACGTCTCACCATGTGGCAATGTGCTCCACTCTGATGACACTTTTCATTTCTAATAATAGAGCAGATGAAGTAATATTGCAATTGATGTTCCCGGGGATTTGATTGGATAAGTGCATAAACTGTGGTGGGGGAAGGGGTTTGTATGGACAGATCACATTAGTATTCCTGTCCTATCAATGTGCGGGGCTGCGACCAACGTCAGCCGGACCGATTTCCTGCTCTGCCAGTCCCGCCACGGATTCTTTTGAGATCCTTAGACAAGGAGCCCGTAGAGACTAGGGATCAAGGCTACAGATTAGAGTCAATTGACTGCTGCGGAGACAGCCAGCCCTTCCAGGCCTGGCGACAGTGAAGAGAGGGAAAAGATGAACTGAGCGCCGCTGCGGGAAGACACTGAGCAAGAGCGACTCCCCCTCCCGCCCCCCCCCCACCTTGCAGCGCAGGCTTTGAGAGCTGCTCCCGCATCTGAATGGAAACTCGGCACAGCCGGGCTGCGCATTCCTTTTCGCTCAGCTGGGCGATCCATGCCGAGAGGAGGGTGGTGCGCGTCCGCGACAGCGCCCAGCTCCCGGGACGGGGCCCGCAATGCTGCTGAGCAGAACTTGATCGCGCCCCTTCATCGTTGCTAGTGGAAGCGATGCTGCACGGCGCAGCCAGCGCTCCCCTGGCTCTCCTTCAAGCTGAAGGTTACCCACCCGCGCAGCCAGCCCCAGCCCTGTGAGCCGCGCGTCTCGGTCCAGCTCCGGCTGCTTGGCCGCGGCGTGCAGGGCAAGAACCGGGCCGCCCGCGCAGGGGCGCACTGCACCAGCGGCTTCGGCTTGGTGGATGTGTATGCATGAGTTCTGCACCGAATGGGCGCAAAAAGCGCCCCAGCCGGTCCACCCGCTCCTCGATCTTCCAGATCAGCAAGCCTCCGCTGCAGAGTGGGGACTGGGAGCGCAGGGGCAGCGGCTCCGAAAGCGCCCACAAAACCCAAAGAACCCTGGACGACTGCAAGATGGTGGGTGAAATCTGCGCCTTTTTTTTTTTAGAGGGGGTGGGGGACTCTTGTATGGTAATCGTTTGGTTGAGTGCCAGACACTTCCCACCCTCAGCTCCTCCATGCGGATCACGTGCACAAGTACTATTTTTAAATCTGCAGTCCCCCGATTCGGGGTGACACCAGGGTGTAATGGCCCTGTGGAGAGAAGTGTCACGGCCAGAGTTTTGTCCAGAGGCTACACTGGGTGTACCTCTATCCCCTGGAAAAACAGTGGAGGGGAAAGACAGGGTGAACTGGCTCGCTCGCCGCCGGGGAGGAGGGGTGGGGAGGTGGAGAGGCTGCTTTGTAGGGACACCTTAGCAAACAACCCCAAAGAGCGCACGGGGCGCTGCGGAGGGAAGAAAGGTTCCAGCGCAGAGGCTGTGGCCGCTCTGCCCTGCCAGGGTTATCAGGGGCCAGCCGGAGTTGAACAGTTTGCCTATGACACTACTTATGGTTATTTTCCCCGGTGCTACTTTAAATCCATATCCTAGCAGCAGCGGGGGGCGGGGGTCCCCATCATCTTTAATGACCTGGAAGTGACATGGTAGCTCTTCAAAGATGCACTTGCTCTTCAGAAACTGGGTCTGGATGGCTGGGAGCAAGTAGGTCTCCGAAGGGCCAAGCTTGCTGGTGGAAAACAGACTTGTATTTGCTTTGTGCCTGAAGCTTTAAACAATTCAAAGGTTTCTAAGCCTGGCGATTAGAGGAGCTGGCTCAGAGGTCAGTGAGATTCCTGTTGAGGGACACCGAAATAGGAAACTGTGATGATAAGTGTGTGATGGAAGAAACTGGCTTCTTTTCCAGCTTGTCCAAGAGTTCAACACACAAGTGGCCCTGTACCGAGAATTGGTCATTTCTATTGGGGACGTTTCTGTCAGCTGCCCCTCGCTCCGGGCGGAAATGCACAAGACAAGAACCAAAGGCTGTGAAATGGCCCGTCAGGCACACCAAAAATTGGCTGCCATCTCAGGGTAGGAGACTTTTGGTGTACATGATGCATGCATGCTTGGCAGAATATTATGGTGGTCTAGGTCGCAGAAATGATGTCTGCAGATTTGGGATTTTAGTCTCTAAAATTAGCATTCAGCTGGGACTCTCTGTCTCTGTCTCTGTCTCTCTCTCTCTCATTCTCTCTTTCTCTCTCTTGAAGATTTTCATCATTAACTGATTTTTTAAAAATTAACTTTTGTATATCCTGCTGCAAGTTGGAATTTAGTGTTTTAACATTTGGTGATGTTTGGGCATCAAAGTGAAGGTAAATCATCATAGCTCAAGATTATTTTGTCATCTGCTACTAAATATAGGATCTGTGCTACAGAGAGAAAAATATTCCTAAATCCCAAATTTGCTGGACTATTTATACCATGAGAAAAATTCTTATGATATTCCTTTAAATCCCTAAAATAAAGTCTAGAATGTAAGTTACTCTGTTCACTGTAGTGATATGAAAGGGAAGTTTTAATATAATTTACATTCCTTTGCAGATTGGAGAAATTCATAAATCTAGGTAAACTGAAACTGTTTTGCCCTTTCTTAATATTTATTCAGTTTAATCACATTTATGGATTCTCATGTCTATGTAAAGTGATAACAGAGTGAGTGAAAACTTCTCTACTGGGACCCAGTGTACTCACTATTAGAAGAAAAGTTAGCCAGGGTTTAGTTAACAGTTGCCATTTGTAAGAGAGGTATGTACAACAAGGAAACACAGGAATCCTCATACAAATTCAGTGAAGTTCTTGGTTCAGTCATGAGGTAGCCTTTATCCGTTTACCTGCGTGAATATGATTTTATTATTATAACAGAAGGCAAGTTAGTCAGGTTTACATGATAATGTTGCAGATTGATCACTTGTAGGAATTGTACTCAGATCTCTTTTTGCCATCCTTAATGCCGCAGTACATACATATAGTGTTTATTACTGGTGTAAAGATTGGAAAATCGTATGTTGCCTTTCTTAATGAATTTACTTTGACAACAGGCATTTTATATTATGAAGAAGGTACATTTTTCTAATTTCCTCAAAGTGAAGGATTAGCAAAGTGTTACAAACTTATTTTATTAGGACTACTGAGAAGTTTTATTCTTTTCTTTTAAATTATACTTACTAAGAAGTAAATTTGGGAAGAAATGGGAAATATTTCAAGAAATGTTATAATAAATCACAGACATGTGGAGAAAAACAATGAGGAACATGAAGGGGAATAGTGATGAATTACAAAGTATGGACAAACAAGACCCAGAAGGAAAGCAATTTGGGGGAGGAGATTTTACAATCAGAGCTTTGGCATAGTGTCTCTGTATCATTTATGTCGAAGACTACATCTTTGTAGATGGTGCTCCATCCTGGATTCCTTTAAGTTAATTTCAAAGTGAGAACACATTCTAATCAGACAAGGTGAGCTGGAGAAATGAACAAAAAGTTCAGTTTATTTTGCTATAACATGAAATTCGACTTTCAAGGACTTGGAAGGAACAGGTGTAAAGCTATTTGCCGAGAGTTGAACTTTGAAAATTTGAGGTGGACTGTATTTACTTTGGGTTTGATGGCCCTTTGCTACTTGCTTATGTATTATCTGAGGGCTGGAATTGCTGGTGGCAGTTTTATAGGAATTAGTGAGAAAATATGGTATTCCTTAGATCCTTGCAAATGTAAGGATAATGCCATAAAATGATCTGAGATAGAATTTGATACATTTTCCTTTAAAAATTAAATGCAGTTTAATGTTCTTTATCAAAAATGACAGCAATATAATGGAAGGAAATCCCTATAGTTCTTCATCATCTGGGCTCCATTAATGAAGGATGTGATTCCCTTTGGCAGAATTCCTTTTCTGGTATTGCTTGGTATGTGGCTTCTCATTTCAAACTGGAGTGCAGTGGAAGATTCACTTCACAGTTTAAAGATGGTGAGAAAAACAAAAGTTTCTCAGAAAAGTAGAGAGAAAGACTGGATTTAAGTGCCCACTCTTTACTATCACAATCCATTTAATGCATAGACTAGTCATCTGAGGAAAAATGTATTACCCCTGTTCTTTCAGTAAGTCTCAGAAGGATTCAGGGATTTGCCCAAAGAAGTGTAACAGCTTTGATTTGACTTCATGTTTCCATGCTCTTGAAATCAATTCTCTTTTTCTCTAGGTAATGCTGCCATTCAAAAAGGTGTTATGTAAAAAGGTAATGATGCTAATAAATGGGTGAACTTTAAAAAGAATAGGCTAATTGAAAGAAGCCAGCAAATACCATTTATTATATGGTTCTATTTATAAACAATGCCCAGAAAAACAAATTTATATGGGTAGAAAGCAGATTAGTGACTTTCTGGGGCTGGAAGTGAACTAGGTAGTCACTGAAAATGTACTCAAGGAACCTTTTTGGGATACTGGAAATATTCCTGAATTGAAACTGAAGTAATGATTCTACTGCTCCGTGTGCTTACTAACCTAAGTCAATTTTATATGTAAAGAATATCTCAATAAATTTTTTAAAGATGCTATCACCATCACTATGATTAATTCTCGGTCTTTTGTTAGTTTTATTCTTTTCTACAGATGTAGCTTATAATGACAGGGTATGTGGAATAGGGGTGAGAGAAGAATAAAACTTGGCTCTCCTTGCATTTATCAAGATGCCTGCCCAATATCTACTAAGTACCATTGCTTTGCTCTTTGCAGGAATACAGGTAGGGAAGGGGCAGGGCTTAAGAACTAAGGGAATCCATTCCTTTCTTGCCTATGCGGATCAGCCTTTATGTGTCTATCAGCTGAATCTAGCCCTGAGGAGGGAGACAGGATTGATGGTAGACTAAAAAGAACATGAAGTAAGGGAGGAAGAAAAAAATATTAAGTTAAAATTAATTCATTGTAAACTGGTTGCCAGCTTGTGTATGGGGCAGTTAAGAGGAGCCAAGGGTATATAGAACAGTATATAGAACAGAACCTGTCGCATTGTCTGTTGCCCACTGGAGGCTTCTCTGAGACTAGAATCTGGCTTCTTTCTCCCCAGTCTAGTGCCTTTTGCATTAATCGTATCCTCCCAGGAATGAAAAAACACAACATTCAAGATAGGGGTGACCCAAGGAAGCCATCATTCTCCAGCAAATCCTGGTAGCTGACACTGTGGCTGGTGGAGGGGATTCTCTTTTTAATACTATCTCTGTGGTCTGTTTGAGACTTAATTTTCCTTGCACTGATAGTTTCTGTTAATGGGCTGCTGAAGAAAGTCTTATGTAGAAGCGCATACACCAGTTCTTAAAAATGAGGTTTAAGCATGATAATGTGAGAAGCAAAATAATATGATGGGGAAGAGGATTGGGTCAAAAATAAATTCAATCTGGATAACACACTTGCTTTACCAATTACTGTAGACACATGGATGAGGTGATAATGTCAAGGAGGCATCTGGCACAGTAGCTAAGTAGATAGATTTTGGGGCAAGATTGGCAGTGCTACTGTTCACAAGTAGTATGACCTTTGACAAAGGTATTATGCCTTTCTGTCTGAGTTCCCTAATCAGCAGTATGTGTCAATAAATAATGGAACCCAAATCATAAGGTTTTGTGAAGATCAAATACTCAGAAATTTGCCTATTATATAATCACTAGGGCATTTAAAATTCAAATTATCTAGACTATTTATATAAAATTTATATTAATTCATCAACTATTTTTCAGATAAATGTTTTGACTGGAATAAATTTTTGTTTGCTTTTCTTTCTTATGTTCTGAGGAATTTTCTGCTAACATTCCCTATAGGGTTATTTTCAAAAGGCCTGTTGTTAAACATTTTACAAATGATAAGGAGATGTGAAATTCAAAAACAGATTACCAGGGGCTGGGGATTTAACTCAGCTGGCATAAGCACCTGCCTTGCAAGTAGGCGGTCGTGAGTTCAATCCCTGGCACCGATAAAAAGGAAAAAGACAAAAAAAAAAAAAAAAAAAACAAAAAAACAGATTACCAGGCATGGTGGCACATGCCTGCAATCTTAGCACTCAGGAGACTGAGGGAACAGGGTCACCATGGGTTCAAGACCAGCCTAGACTATGTAGTGAGTTCAAGACCAGCCTGGACTACATAGCGAGACCTATAAACAGTTAGGTTTAGAAGTATTTTCTTGGTGCAAATCAGCGTAAATTCTTCATAAATCATAAAACACGAATTCCTTTGCCTAGATCTGTTATGAGCTGGGTGACATTGGAAAAGTGTTAAATCCCTTGTGCACCTAAATAAGAGTTAAATTGAGTGATTTCTCAGCCTCTTGCCTTCAGCATTCTAGTATTCTACATAAATTCATGTAAAATCACATAGATTTTGTTTACAGAACAGAGCGATGAAAAAATAAGCACTACACAAGGAGTTTGATGATTAAATTCCAAAAATATTTTTAAGGGCCCTGAACATATACAACAAGAAGAATCTTAATTTCCTGATGACTTTCCGAAGCCATGTAATGAATACCCTAAAGATCCATGACTGGAGATTGCAGGCTTTTCCCTCCAGCGATGATTTCCTGATCAGCCAGGCCTCTTCTTTTCCTCCTTTCTTTTTTTTTTTTTTTTTTTAAGGAAGAGAAGTTTATTGGCTCACATTTTGTAGAGTCCAGTCCCTTAGTAAGCTCGCTCCAAGGCAGGGTGCAGCGGCACAGATCCATCACAGAAGAGAAACAGTTCATGGTGTGGCAGGCAAAAGGCAGCATGCAGCAAGCCTGCCTTTCCTTTTTGTCTCAGACTCCAAGGCTTTTGGGTGGTGCCCTCACACCCAAGTTGGGGCTTCTGCTTTCAATAAATCCATTCAGCCAGAGCCAGAACTATGGTAATTCCAATTAGTGGACTATGCAACCCCCTCCTTGGTCTGTTTTGGTTTTGTTTGTTTCTATTCAATTTTCCTGTTCTTTTTTTTTTTTGTAGTCCCACTTCTAGCTAGTTTCTGGTCCACCACCTTGTTTCATTGGATAGGAAATCAGGAGAAGGA